AAAGGGATGCATATAGTCAGTGGTGTTTAAACTAAGGTGCCCAATGTGTACTAAGAAAAACTATCCACCACATCATCAGAATCAGTCAGAATCTCAATACTTTATTGATCCCAGAGGAAATTTTTTTCATTTCCTCATAATTGCATAATTTCCATAATCAATTTCCTCATGATTACACCAGCAGCAGATTAAACTGTTCATATGATGCAGGATGTATCCATGTTTATTACTACAAATTCTGGCCCTTACATCCAAATGTTGCAGCAGAAATTGAGACTCATTACAGTAAGCAACATTTCCAAGATCATTTCCAAACACCTGGATGAACTGCACCATCAGTTTTCTGATTTTAGCTGAACAAAACAAGTGAAGTCTGCACGCACACACTGCACATACAAAATGTATGTACAGGCTGGTATAACGAAATTGTGTAATAATAGCACACTTTTTATTTATTAAATTATTAGTAATCATAATTTAAGGTTTAATTTCATGTCGTAGTCTCAAAGAAAGACATCTTTACTCTAACTAGCTCAAACCACTGACACTGACTTGCCATAAAAATTGTGCCTTAACTGCCACTCTGTTTACTTATAATTACATGATACTATGTTGGGTATGCGGAATATAATCAATTATAATCAACCTTCAGACAGTAACAGCCTACAATAGTTTAGTAATCCTGTAACTTTAACAATAGCACCACATTTTGACGAAAGCATTCCAATGAATATTGGATGAATTGGCATGAAAATGTGACCTTTCTTGTGCCACAATGGATTTCAAATATGTGATTTTAAATTAAATGCCTCAGTTATTCCAAGAGTTTTTCCTGAGATTTAACGTAACGGCAGCTATATAGCCCCAAAGACCTGGTAGCATACTTACAGACTCTTCTGTGATAATCCTATTGCCTTTCCCACCGTTACATGTTTAGCCTCCATGTTTAGCTTATGTCAGTCACAGTTTAATAAAATATATCCTTTTTATCATTCCAAATTCAAAATATTAGGTGGGCCAAAAAGACAGAATCAGATAATCAATGCAACTAGATTTGAAATTGGTAAATACTGAAGACCGTGAGCTGTCCTCATGAATACTAATGTTCATTGGCATCGGATGGAATCAAAGTGACTTAAAAATCACAACTATTGATTTTGGCTAAGCAAGGTCATACAGAACAACAGAGACAGGAAAGGCTCGTGTACAAGAAGCAGGTGGAATCAGAAAATGCAGCTTCAGACTGTTTTAAATTCACAACATTTTACAAGAGATACTTCCCTGATACTAATTGTTGTTTTTACGTTTTAAACTAGTGCAGCTAAGCTATCCATTCATACA